AAAGAGCTTCTAAGTTTCATTTTTCATACTCTGTGTTTCTCGCATGATGTTTTTCCCATTATTTTGTTTATAGAAGAATGATCAATTTCATGCTTTAACATTTCATCTTTATATGAGGTGTTCAAAGATTTGTTGATGGTCTAATATTCGGTTTTAAACTTGAATGCAATGATAATTTTTATCCGTTGTTTGAACAAGTATTGTTTGTGATCTTTACTCCCTTTTTTCACTTTATTCCTTTTTTGATATCTTTTAAGTTATTTGACATGCTAAAATGGACGGGCAAGAGACTAGTATTTAGCAAATGTGAACTTTTTTGTTATTACAATAGTTGATGATATAATTATTGTTGTGGTTATGGGCGGACCCACAAGGGATCATGTGGGGTGGGGGGGGGGATGAAGTGACCCCCAAAAAAAAAATTTCCAATAAATCTATAGCTGTTTTGAACTCTTTACATCAATATACAACTTTTCTCCAATTTATATATTACGTGAATTTTTTTTAATTGTCATTTATAATTTATTTTGACGTACTCATTACAGAATGCTAAATGAAGTCGAAACATTGAATTTTGAATACCATTTTGAAGTGTTCACGACCTAATTTTTTGCTCATTAATGACGTGAGAAACGGCCAACTGAATCAAAAGTCGTGGTGCGTCATAGTAGACCGTTTTAAACTAATATTTCTAGAATTTTGATAATATGCTAACTTTAAAAGTTTGTCGGCTATCATCTGTAGTCGAATCCACAAATCGCCTATGTCATCTAGAAAATCATTTCTAGAACTACATTGTAGTCATATCGAATGGTCCAAACGGATATCACAAATAATTAAACATGCGTCAAACACACGTTCAAAAAGAGGCATTTAACTTGTATTTTCTTTAAAATTTTCAATTATTTTATTAATGTTTAATATCTTTGCATGATAAATTTCTCAATATAATTTATATAATTTTATTAGAAAATTTTAATGAAACATGCCGTCAAAACTTATAGAATCATTATGAATTAAATGTAATTTAAATTACTTTTGAGTTACATTTGCAATAAATTTGAATTTTATTTCAATTCATTTACTTCCTACATTCATTTTGATTCACTCGCCACCAGTCCAACATCTGTCAATGAGATGGTAAGCAAAACTATAAAAGTAGCAAAATTCATTTGAAAATA